AGTTATAGAGCTAATAGTAAGCTTTAAAATAAGTTACTACTTACCTAATTTAGATAAGTATTCGCTAAGTTATTTAGCTACCCACCCTCTACCCGCTATTTACCACGCTAACTAGAGTGGCCCGCTTACTAGTGAAACACGTTATATGTTGATAGTTCGTATCTAGAAAAGTAGCTTAAAATATAGCTATAAGATATACATAAATTAATAACATTTATAAGATAGCTAGGCATTCTATCTAATCTGCCCTATACAAGCTTTCTACCGGCGGATTAGCAGTTAGGTGGGTGACCACTAGCGAATCCCCGCTGTCGTATGTATATTTTTACTTATTGCTTAGTTTTTACACAAGTCACGTGCAAGTATATTGGCGTACGAGATGCACAGCAGTGCCTCACTATTGCTTGCCTGGCACTAGTACAGACGTCATTCTTCCTGCCCATCTATGATAGCGCCACTTGTCCCCAGCCACGTTTCGTGCAGCCCCTCAACTCCTACCCCCATCTACATCATCAACATCACTTTAATTAATTTCTCCTCAATAGGTTTCGGAACAGATAGCTAAGAAAATACTAGCATTCTTCCTTTTTTTCCAAAAATGTCATCCCGCGGCCTCCCCGAAGCCCTGATGCAAAAGGTCGACGAATACGTTGACTCGCTGGCACCCCAGATCCAACCCCGCATTGCGTCTGAACTGGAAGATTTCCAACAAAAAACAATCGATAGCCTCGAAACACAAGTTGTGGATGCCTTTCGCTCCCTTTTCAATCAAGACTCATCTTCTGGACATGGCAATCGTGGCTCATCGTCGGGCGGCCCGTGGAATCTCAGTGATGCAGCACCCGACGCGTACGGCGGACAGTCGCTGCCGTTCGCAGACGAAATAGCAAAGTTGACCCGCAGCTTTGGACAGATTTCTGATGAGGCAGGTGGGGATTTGCGTGAAATATTTGCACTCACACAAGGGAATGACAATCGAGGGGCGCCGGATCAAGCCCGATCTCAAGATGTGGATTTTTCATCTGGAGCAAGGGGGTTCTTGTCCTCGGCCCTGAACGTAGTGCAGGATAGTCTCGAAAACCGGAATGGGTCTGATGGTGGGGGAGGTAGTGGCCAAGGATTCGAAATTGGAGGTCTCCTCGGCATGCTGTCCAACACTATCAAAGATGCGTCGCGAAACCCAGAAGAAAAAGCTAGGCTTATCAGCCCTGAGATCAAGCAGGTGGTAGGTGAGAAGTTGCGATCGCAGCATGCGCCTATTGCTGAGCAGTTCACCCGCATTGCGCTGGACCATATCAAGCGCTGGCTGCGTGGGAACACCAGCTCGAGGGACCTGGGCGAAGGTGCAAAAGCCGAGATCGCAGAGCAAGTAGGCGACTTGGTCAAGGGTCTCGGGAACCTTTTCGGCAAGAAGAGGAGCGGAAACGAAGGATCCGCTAGAGGCTTCGACGAGTCGAGTCGCGATGGCGACAACGGCAGCAGTGGAGGCGGCTTCTCACGCGTCATCAGCGACAAACTAAGCACAGGACTAGCAAAAGTGCATCGAGAAGTACGCCTCGAGTTCCGCAAGGTACTTGGACAAATCGAAAAACAGCTTTTCGAGCTCTTGCCCGACCAGTTCCAGCGGCCACTGGAGAAAATCCTCGGTGGTAACCCCTTCGACTCACAGCTGGACCGTGACGCAGAACCCAATGCAGACCGCGGCTTTGGCGACGACATCAAAGCCAAGCTCCTCGGCAAGATTCGCGATCTTATCCGCAAAGTGCAAGAGACACTCCGCGAGAGCATTCTCGGCGTCGTCAACGGTGGTCACCGTCGCTTCGAGCGCGAAAGCTGGGTCTTTGTGCAATCCATGGTAGAGCAAAAAGTCCAGCGGTACCTCCCCGACGTCAAAATCAACGTGCCAGATGACATTGGTAACGAAAATGTCAGCGTGGGAAGTCCTGTGCAGCAGAATATAGGTGGGGGGGCTGCGGCATACGAACAAAGACCCCCTCATCCTCCTGTTTCACAGCATCAAGAGTACAGACCAGACCAGCAGTACGCTCCTCCACCCCAGTCGTATCAGCAGCAATCGCCGCCTCCACCGCAGTACCAGACTGGAAATTATCCTCCACCACAACAGCAACATCAACAATATCAAGGTTATCAGCAGGGATATCTGCAGCAAGGATATCAACAGCAGGGACATCAGCAACAGGGCTATGGTGAGAATGAGTACAGGAGGAATGAGTACTAGGAGAGAGGGAGAGAGAGAGAGGAAAGGGGGGAGAATGGATGTGTCTACGCGTTCCAGCTATGGAGACTTGAGAACGAAAACGAAGAATACTATTACACATTTTGAGCTAGCTATAATAAACCAAAAAGTCCAGTCAATATGCACATGAGAGAAAAAATATGCAATTCCCTGCTTAATTTGAATCAAGCAAGTCGATCCCCCCCATTCATTTAATGAAATACAGGCACAACATCACATCGTAGCTAAAACCAAAAACTGCATGCAAAAAGTGATTACCGGCAAAATATTTTACCGCGTCTCAAATGGTATTCATCTGCGATCCTAACGCAAAGAAGGGAAAGGAGAGAGAGAGAGAGAAAGAAAAAAGAGACAACTATATCATATCGACTACGCTTACTATCAAACGAACGCCATGCATGCCAAAAGAACCCCCCAAAAAAACAAGAGCACAAATCAAGTCAAAAAAACCCCCCACAGTGGTATCATGAGACCTTCGCTTTGGACCAAACCCCATTTCGCCATGACACGCCGTCATGGTGCGCCAGTTGGGACAAAAGAAACCGCCCTCCCCCCAACTAATAAAGATATACGCCCCCCGACCCCCCCCCTCTATCGCAACGGAGGGGAAAAATAGCAGTAGCAGGAGTAGTAATAGTAAAATGATAATGATAATAATAATAATAATAATAATAATTACAATTATAACAACTTCTTACCCAGACGATGAAGCAGAGTCGTCAGCAGCAGGCGAAAGTGCTCCAGCCAGGTTGCGCGGCAATGCCTTGATAGCATTGTGTACCTCGCTGCTAGCCATCTTCTGCCACTTTTCGCGAGTGTCTTGGTCAGCAAGTGCGTCGGCGCCCGCCTCGCCAACCTTTTCGTACAGCAAGCGTGATACATCGCGATTCACATCTGTGTATTCCTGCTTTGAAACTTCCTTTTTTAGGTACAATGGCTTCAAGACTGCAGTCACCATGCGCTGCAGTTCAGCCTTGGTGGAGTAGGAAAGTGATGGACGGATAGGTGACGAGTCCTTGGAGCGGGGCGGGCTGCTAAGACCAACAGAGCGATGCGCGAGCTTACGGCGACCAGCGCGATCGTCGTCTGCGGGCGAGTATGGTGAGTAAGTGGGTGACAGTTGGGCCTCCTTTTGCGCAGGTGACGCAGTACGAGCGAGATTCAAAGGTGGCGGTGTCGTCATGCCAGGGAGTGTATGATAGACGGGAGATAGTCCCGGTGATGAGTGCTGTGGCGAGCAAGCACGTTCAACGATAATGCGCCGAGGCTGAGGGGCGGCAATCTCCTTATCGCGCTCGGCAAACCGATCCACCTCGACTTCTTGCAAGAGAGATTGCAAAAAGCCAGGAGCAGGGGCAGATGATTCGCCATTTGCAGCTGGTGGCGATGATGCCGCCGCCGCTGCAGGCGCATGCGCAGCGGTATTGCGACGAGCCGCCGCCGCTGATGACTCCCCATTGTCCACATGTATACGTGTCCGAGGACGCTTCAACTTGCGCTCTGGTTTCTGCTCGCGAGGCTCCGACTCTGCAGAAGAATCAATAGACTTCCGCTTGCGTGCCCGTCGACTGCTTGTGCTCGCCACACTGGGTGCAGGTTGTGCCTCGGCCTGAGCGAGTTGTTCGCGAGCCTTTTCGAATTGGTTCCACGCGCGTAATTCTTCCTGTGATTCGGGATCTTTTGGCGTTTTTGGCGGGTCGTGATGTAATGTTCGGTTGGTAGGCTGTGCTGTTAGGTTGGAGTTGCGGCGTCTCCCAGTGACAACGTTATCAGTGACCATCTGGAATCGATTGCCTGCTCCTGCCCGCCGCGCTACACGCATGCGTTCTTCCCATCTGCGATCCTCGCGGCGCGTAACATCGGACTGGTTCTCAGACTGCTCTTCTTCGTCAAAGGGAAATTCAATATCGAACTGTAAGCGGTCCCAAACGCTCTGCCAAACTCCTACCCATTCATCAGGGGCTTGATTGTGGCGGGGCACACGGCTTCTACCATTAATCCAGGCAGCCGGGCCTCGGATAGCAGGTCGTCGTCTGGATGCAGCCTCGAGCAAACCGGGGTTCTCGACACAGCCCTGACAGTACCAGGGGCCACGCGAGGGCATCCGGTCAAGCCCAGCGCAGAAGACATGGCACAGTTGCTCGCAGCTGTGGCAGTACATGAGTTGTGACGCGTCGCCAAACTCGTCGCAGACCATACATGCGTCATAACTTCCATCATCTTCGAGGGTATAGTCCTCCTCGATGATCATGGATGGATCGATATCGGCGACTTGCTGCTTGTCTTGGACGGTGTATTCGGAAATCTTGGGGCCTATACAAATGTCAGCCGGCGATTCGTCGTTTCAAGTCCATGTCATGTGGCGCAACAGCATAAGGATGGGCAGAAAGTTGTGTTGTGCTCGACTGACCATTTAGCCAGTAGCCAGGCTACTACCAGGCAACGAAAACAACGTCATGACTGCAGAGCTCCGTAGTATCCAGGACAAACATACCTCCAACGCATGCGCTGAGCTCGACCATGTTGAAACTGGCTCGGCATATAGGGCAGCTGTTCGCTCGCTCGACCCAAGGCTTGAGACAGTCATTGTGCAGGTCATGGCCACATGGAAGCAAATGTGCTACCATGTCCTCGTCCTTGACAGAGGATACAGCCACGTCTTTGTTCTTGGCATCATGTTGGTGTCCGGCTGGGACATCAGCACTATTCTCAAGGGAGTGGATCGCGAGCGGTGGTACGGTGGCGGTAGGGCCGTCGTCTCGGGGGACGAGATCGCCGAGGCAGACTATGCACGTCTCGGCCATTGGTGCTGTGTTTCGAAGTGAAGGAACGAATGTACTCGTCGACGCGATTCATAAGTTGGGAAGATGGTCGGGTAGACAGAGCGGGGACCGTGGTTTAAGTACGCGGACGCTAGTGGCTTGGCCGGCGGATCATTGATCATTCACTACCCTGCAGCAGCCACACTCACACTCGCACTCGACAGGCAGTCGCGCCAACCCCGGAAACTCGTGACAGGTGCTTGGTGGAGGGGCACTAAGTGGGTACCGAGTCCAGGTTGGGTCTGTACCGTCTGATCGTATTCTATCTACGTATATGCCGTCAGCTTGCCTAATTGCTGCAGCCCTAAACGCTCAGTCAGTCAGTCAGTCAGTCTGCAGAGGTTCTTACTGTACCTCACTACGTGTCCCGCTACCCCGAACGGGTGTGCGCATATGACTTGCCCGCGTTGCTCAGTGGTGAGTCGGAAAGACAAACATGTTTCAGCCAGGCCGCTCTGCTATGCTGCGCTTGCTTGCCCACATGTAGCAACGGGACCTTAAGGTGTCTCTGTTATGGGGTCCGACTATGTCCAGGGTGGTACTAGTCTTCCCAATGTGCATACGCAGTCTTGCAAGGGGAAGGTGATACGGCAAACGACATTGACAATAACCTTTCGAGTCTGATGGCCTATTCTGGATGCTGGACGGCCACTCGACATGTGCAGATAAGACAGCGGAAGCTACAGCAGCTATGCCCAGTCCTTGGTGCATACTTAGTATCGTGATGCCGTCTCAGGTACATTCTCCGCAGAACTGTCAATGCCAGCCCATGCAATATGCAAAACACGTACGAGTGCCATGTGAAAATCGGGCAGGTGCCGGCACTGCCAATCATTATCTTCGCATCATCATGTTCCGTGGGGTTTGCGTTCGACAGCCTTTGTGTGCGTACATCTCTCTCTCTCCGCGCAGACGATAAAGTTGAACGCGTGGCTCTTACTATATTTCTACAGCCATCGTCTTGCGCAACACGAGCAATGTGAAGCCTGTAGGCAACCACTCAAAATCGCACACTAGATCTATCCTAGCTGCCCTACACATGACCGTCAGGTTAGCGACACAGCAAGGCAATGGGTGATTGTTGAATCGAAAAAAAACATCTTCTAGTCTCCACCAACCGCGCTTGCTGACCAGGTTACCCAGCTCTCTTTGTATGCGCTGCAGCCAATCCGGTAAAAACAGGCGCAAAAGCCGCAGAATCTTGTTTGACACGCAATCGGAATCGTGACCGCCCTGGTGGAGAAGAGGAAGATGGACAGCGGTGAGGAGAATTTTGCTGCCCGTCGATTTGGAGGGGTATCCTTCGATTCCAGCATCTGTGTGCCAAGCCCACTAACCGCTTGTGACATGGACCATTGTTGCCAGGTACACTTGGACACACCCTCAGCCTTACCCTTTTTCGAGCCATGCTGCACACAGACATATCGTGCATCGCGTCGCTAGATTCTGGTGTTTTCACACAGGACGTTGCATTTGCTGCCTGTATCGTACTGTTGAGAAGAATGCACTGCAAAAAAAGGGATGACATCGCTCATGCCGGCGCCTGGTTACCTCGGCATGACCTCAGAGCATACCAAAAGAAGGGTCATGTCCGATGAGGGTAGTCGTAGTCGTGAATGTGAAATTTGCTCCTATTGATATAACACCACCTCCCTTCACCACTCGATTCCCATCATTTATCCATTCAAATTTTTTGTTTTTAAGAGTGAGAAAAAAGCAAACAATTTTCTTTTACAGCAAAATGGCTCAAGAGTCGCGTCAGTACGAATTGGTGCTGCTTGGAGCCACTGGATACACGGGCAAACTCGTCGCCGAATGGATCACGACACATCTGCCTGATGACCTTAGGTGGGCCATCGCGGGGCGCAATGCAAACAAGTTACAGGCCGTTGTCAAGGAATTTTCCGAACTGAGGCCAGATCGCAAAGAGCCAGGTACGTGACGAAAATGTCCCGTGGCGACAAAACCATGTGACCGACAGAAAGAGAGGAGAAAAGAAAAAGAAAAAGAAAACTGACGGTTTCCCAGCCATCGAAATCTGCGAGCTGGAACAATCTCAACTCGAAACACTTGCCAAAAAGACTACACTCGTAATCACAACCGTAGGCCCTTTCATGCACTATGGCGAACCCGTCCTCGCCGCCTGCGTCAACAACGGCACGCACTACCTCGACTCAACGGGCGAGGTGCCCTGGATCTATGATATGGTTGCAAAGTACGACGCGCTTGCTCAAAAGAACAAGACCATCATCATCCCAGAGTGCGGTCTTGACTCTGTTCCTGCAGGCATCATGGCGTACGTGCTTGCGCGAGAGGTGCGCAAGCGGTACAATGCCGCATGCGAGCGCGCCATCATGACGCTGTACAGATTCAAGTCTGGAATTAGTGGCGGCACCTCGCTTACCATGCTTGAGCTGTTCAAAAACTATTCGCTCAGCCATTTAGCCAAATCAATGCATCCGTACTCGTTGTCGCCGGTCAAGGCGGACAAGGTTGCTGCGCCGCCTGCAGGAAGCTTTCCCTACAGTCTTGTTGGCCTGAAGATGATTCCCGAGCTGGGTGGTGTTCAAACCACGGGACTGATGGCTCCCGTTGATGAATGCATTGCACACCGCTCATGGGGTCTGTACCAATCCTCAGGCGACGAAACATTGCAATATGGCCCCCGATTCCGCTTCAACGAGTACGCGCGCGCACCAAGCTTTTTTGTTGGTCTCGCCCAGAAGGTGGTGCTTACCTCCATCTCCGTCTTACTCGCTTTCCCCCCAACGAGATGGATCGTGGAGCCGCTGTTCAAGATGGTGATTCCCAGCCCGGGCCAAGGACCGTCCAAGGAAAGCATGAAGAAGGACTTTATGCATTACCGTGGCGTAGGCTGCACCGAAGATGGGAAAAAGGTAGTCGCGAATCTAGAAGTCGCTCATGGTGGCTATGTTGCGACGGCCATTACGTTGAGTGCGGCTGCCAAGCTAATGCTCAGGGGGAAGCTTGACCAGACAGAGGCTGGGAGGCTGGGAGGTGGTATTTTGACGCCGGCGACGCTAGGTGACGAATACGTGAATACGCTGAATGAGTTTGGCATGAAGATTAGGGTAGACGAGTAGCAGGGCACGGGAGTTGTGCAATGCATCATTGGGGCTCTGCGTGGTTTGGGATTGGCGTCAATATCGCACATGGTATCTATCTATTGAATTGAATCTTGTGTTACCATGGCTATTTTACCCGCCTATTGATCATTTGTGTTACAAGTCCTACCTTGTTTCTTTCTTTCCCCCCACCCCCCTGCCCACACATGCCCACTCAATCTCCACCTTGCGAGCAGCCACAAACGCCACGGTGCTACTTCTGGATCTCAACAACAGTCACGTTAGCACCGGAGCAAGGCTTATCTCACCGGAGATCCCGCGGGCGACAAGTGCAAGTTCCAGCCGATCAAGTCTAAACCTTGTCTGGTCTAAAGGGGGAATAGAGAAGGGGGAAGGCTTGACACATCTTCACTAGCCTGAACCCGAGAACTTTAAACTCTTCCCAACGGCCTGGCTAACAGGTGTGTATGATGTCAGAGCCATAGTATAGTGCTTGGGCAATACACACGCACAGAGTCTGTTTCAAAAACCTGAGATGTTGTCTATGAATGCACTGTAGATTTGCAGTTGATGCCGTTGCATCTCATTTGATTCAATAACCCTTCCAAAGCGCTGGGCAGAAGATTTGCATTTCAATAGCAGCAACAATCACCACGCCTTTCAAGATGGTTAGTTTACCTCGACAGAACGATGGTATACCTAAATCAGTGGTGGCAGACTATTATTAGGTAATATGAGCTTGGCCACTGGGAGGTCACTCCGTTCACCATACTACCCATCTATGTCTATAGGTCATTCGTAATGGCAGCTGCCTGGACTGCCTTTCTAGCTGGGAAACCTGCGCCATGCGACACACATTCATGCGGCTACGTGTTGACTCTGTAACCCCGCAATCCACGTGTTTTTTTTTGGGGGGGGGGGGGGGGTTGTAGAGCGAGTTCTCGAATCGCCTTCTCATCCTACTTTGGCTTTGACGAGTCATCCACTCGAGTGTTAGATGCCGCCATGTTCATGAGTCTCCTCTGTCATTTGGCTCCTCCTTGACTAGTCTGGCTTCGTTCTTTCGCACGTCAGCGGGCCCCTGTTTTGCTAAAGTCTCAATCATCTCCGCAACCGCTAAGGCTTTCTTGCGGTTTGCCTCTTCATCCGCAGGATCGGCGAGGGTATCAAGACCACCAAAGAGCCAGAGTTCCTGTAAATCACGAATGAGGGTCGAGATGTCCTGAGCGGTCTTGATCTATTCATGGGTGTTAGCAATGCTTGGAACAAAATCGCGTGCACATGACCTACCAATGCAGCGCTTTGTTCTTTGATCATCAGTTCTTTGTGTGCCGAGGTTGAGTAATCCAGCACAGGCTCATACTCGGTCTTATTTAGTACCGACGAGTATTCAGTGGCTTCGTGCATCTTGACAGTGCGGAGTATGGTAGATAGGTAGCCATCACCGCCCCAGGGGTCATCTCTACGGTTGTCCACAATTGACTTGCATAATGCTTCTGTCTTTGCTAGGGTAGCATCAGCAAGTGCTCGATTCGAGGTGTTTAGGGATATGATGACTTGGGCGACCAGGTTGTTTTGCTACACTAGCCCCGCGCTGGTGCGGGGAAAAGGCTGGGGAAACATACCGAGGAGCGCCTCTTTTGTGCGCTCTGACGGGTTCATGGTGGCGTATTGGGACACAAGAGACGTAAGGATGGAGTGTGCAGTATGACAGGAAGGAGCTCCAGTCAGTCACGGTTGCCAAGCTCACGTCCTTATCGATAGCAGACCCAAAGGAGGTCTGTGCGCATCGCTGTGGTGATTCTCACCAAGCATTCGGGATTTTCATGGTTCGTGCGCCGGGCAGGGCTGATCATGCAGCTGTGGGGGGCGGCTGCATTCGCTTTCGTATCAGCAATACACAGTATATCTTGCTTTTTTTTTAAAACAAGGACACATGACCCGAAATGCGTGAGATGATGCCAATTGATGGCTTGCTTGATTCACCATAGCAGTCTTAGTGGCATTTTGGTCAAATCCAGTTGTCGTAATGCACTACTGACTTGTTCCTGGACATGACGTGCTACAGGGTTCCTGGTGTGTCGCGAATCTGGGACCGTAGAATTAGCCCATTTAATCCCCGGCTATAGTGCTCTAGACCAGGTCATGGGAAACATGGCGCTATGTGTCTGCCAGTAGTCCCGCTCATGTGTGCTCGGCAAAGAGGTGGAGAGTTTGACAAATCACTAGCGAGTCAACTCTCGGAGCGTCACGTACCCATTTGCTGGGCGCATCGAAAGCTCGCGGAAAGGGGATTTTTGCCGCTAGGTCAAACGTTGTTGCGGACGTTCAACGGACGTTCGAGCGGGTCGCGTGTCGGCACCATGTGCTAGTCTGTGTTGCGCGTGCACCGCCGTCAGAGACCCCGAACCAGTTTCCGCCCACATGCACGGCGGCCAAGGGACTTTTTGCGTGCTTTTGCGTCGGCAGACCATTTGTGAAGCGCTTCGGCATTTGGCCCAACTGCCGATGCTTTGGTGCCAAACGTGCCCTTTTCAGGCCCATGTTGATACGCACTTGAACACTCAAACTTGGCAAGCTGCAGCCGTGAGCACGTTCTCCTTTGCGTGGCTGTCTGGCCTCGCGATGGGCTCGGGAACGCCGCACCCTGACACCAACCTCTAGCCTATTCGAGGCGGCTGTCATGGTACCTTTGGCTGCAATTGGCCCATCGTCAGGCTGGATTTGGCAGCATGCTATCATCGTAGCCGGGTTCGGAAGGCGTCCCGTGTGTGGCTGGTGGCTTGCATGGGTCTAGCAAGCCCCAATTCCAGAACAGGGGACACGTACTTACTGATAAAGTGCCCTCAGCTGCGCCAATACTCCGAAAGCGCTATCAGAGTCTACGTCGAGGACAACTGCGTTAAGCGAGGCAATGCGGATTGTGCAATTGCCGACATGTGCATTGTTGCGTGCGTGCCATCTATCCATATATGTGTGTGTGTAGCTACTCGTCAGCATTGGCGACAGAAAACGCTCAGTAATCTCGCCTACTGGAACACGTAGGAAAACGCCAAAACTCCCGCGCTATTTATGCCCCCCTGTAGTCGCTCAAAATCCAACAGGCCCATGATGCAGAAACCAAACCAGCGCCAAAACAAGGCCGAGTATAAGTACTGCGCGCCGCTATGACCATAAAAAGAAACACTCAAGGGAATATCTGTTTGTGGCCTACACGGCCTTGTATGTACATGGACATGGGAAAAACAAAACAAAAAACATGGTGCAAAATGGGTAGTCGTTAAACAAAGCAAAGTATTCGCCGTCGCGAGATTGTATGCCACGGGCTGCGGCTCTTAACTCGCTGGGGTTTGGAGTGGGAGATGGTTGGTGGTGATGATGATGATGATGATGATGAAGGCGAGGACTGACGTGCGGATTGTTGCTGCTGTTGGGCCTGGCCTGCTTTGTGGGATTCCAGACTGATCACTCGTATCTTTGCGGGCTTGTCGTCATCTTCCAGATCGTTACCGTCGTCGGATTTGGAGGTTTCTGTGTGGAGTGTGAGTAATTTCATAGAGTGACGGGGAAAGGATGCGTACGAGAAGAGGCTGAGGTAGAGGTTCGCCTCGATGTCTGCCTGGATGTTTGCGTCGACGTCTGTTCAGAGGTATGGCATGGGGTTTCCTCGGAGTCTGCAACTGTCAGTCCAATATGACGCGTAGAATTGAGTTTGCCCTACGTACCGTCTGCAGATGACACAATCGAAAGCGGACTTCGCCTCTTTGTCACAGAAGACCTGCTACTTGCGGGTTGATATGATCGCGGACGATCGGATGCAGGCGAGTGAAATGCAGGCAACGCAGGCACTGGAGGCACATCTCTGGCGAGGTTCAGCTGTCCGCTATCGATTTCGGCAGACAAGCGGCGTATGACTGCGTCGATGGATTGATCTTGCTTGCTTCTCGACTTGAGACTACGAGCACGGTCGCCATTTGGTGTCACTCCGCTCCTGGCGCGCAATGCTGGGTGGATGAGATCAGAAGACTGGTCGAGTTTGCGTTGAAAAGCTTCAGTTGGGGGTTGTGCAGCAGTCAAGCTCCTTCTTGCAGCTTGGATTCTAGCCTGGACTTCATGGGCGCCGACAGATCTCCGGTGAGCCTTGAGTCTGGCCTGGACTTGGTCGGCGCTGACAGACTTTGAATCGGTTGTCGGTAGAGGGTCGGCTGCTATGGGCTTTGAAAAGTTGGGACAAGGCGCAGAGACTGGCCTGGATGGCTTTGTGAGGACGACGGGGGGGAAAGGCTCGGTACATGTGCTTTGTGGTTGGGTCAAGACAGACAGATTCGACATTATTATTGCTATGGGCAAGATTGTACGGTGCAGGATGGATGCAGAACCGGAGCAGGCGGGACTGCAAGAGACAGCTCAAGGGAGCAGGCCGTCTAATCTATAGTGGATAATCATGTCTCAACAGACGGGCGGGTCGCGCTTGGATAGCGTGGTAACTGGGTTTGCATCCATGCGCCGCTGCTTCTAGCGCTTCAGATACGGCACCGATGCTCGAGGCGCAGGCTGGAGGGCTGAATAGAGTTAGCAAGCGAAGATAACGACCCACGACGGCTTGGCGCCCGACCAGCATAGCTCAGCTCGCAAATACAAGGGAAATGAATCTGGCCGCACCACCAGCCATGCGAAAACGAATGCGGCAATGACCGCGTGCGTGTGGCGCCGTGCGGCATGCCTGGCCATTGGCTGCCCCCACGCAGCTACCGCCTGCTTCTGCACGGCGAGGCCCCAGACGGACCAAAAAGAACAGAGTCCATAGTATCCGTCGTGCTCAGGCTTGCCCTAATGGTCCAGCGGCTGGCGAGATGGACATGGCGCATGGATGTCGTTGTATGTCGTGGTACGTATGGGGAAGCACTTGGCCAGAGGCCGGGCTCGCCATGACGCCAGCCGGGGTAATGGCAATGGCATGCTTTTGGTGACGAGTCGCCATGTATAGACTGCACTACACTGCATGTGTAGTGTATGTGCACTACATGGCTACGTAGGTAGGTACGTATTTGAGTACATGTGTACTAGGTGAATGGCTTGCCAATACATGATGGATGCACACGTGCTTTCGCCAGTGCACCAGGCCAGGCGGCTCCAGCCCGTCAAGGGTGTTTTGGATAATGTTTGACCATGGTGATGATGATGGTGATGATGCTTTTGCGGCTATATTAGCACTACTATCCAAGGACATGTGTACGACGGATAATACCTGCATCTCGACTGGGACCGCAGCCTTGCAGCACAAGCACTGCGTCCATGCAGAGCGGGCCGGGCAAGCCGATCGCGCGGCTTGGCCGGGGACGTCATGACAATATCTCAGGGGAATCTGGGGGCGGCGTGGGAATATTGGATGGTGGTGAGGTGAGTTGCAATGGCGCCAGAGTGTGAGTGATTGGCCATGAGGAGCGGAGTGGCCGGACCACACACAGGCTGCATCCTTTTTTTTTCTTTGGTGGCTGCTCAGCTGCTATTGCTCTTGCTCTTGCCGTGGGCAGTACACGATGGTACTCTACGCACAGTGCGTGGGTGCGTGGGTGCGGCAACGTGACCAGCGACAGGCGGACGCTGTCCATGCCATGTACACACCGGCACGTGTGGAGTGAGTGTACATAGAAACAGACATTGTGCACATACAGCGACATCAACGAGCACGGCGTGGTGTTGATGAGCAGCAGCGCCAAGGGCATGATGATTGCGTCAGTGAGGCGAGCGCGCGTATCTGCCCATGGGCGGCGACAGCTGCACTCATCCCATACGCTCGCAGCGCTGGGACAGCTGCAAAAGCTCCCCCGCAACCCGCAACCCGCAACCCGTCGCCGCCTCGTGCCCTCGTGCCCTCGCCGCTATCCCCAGGGTTCAGCGTGGTGTTGAGGCTCTGGTGCCGCCACTCGGGTCTAGGCTCTTATCTTAGTGCATGCACTGTGCCCAAGCCCGGCCCTGTGCTCTCCCGCTTCCACTTTGCGACCCACGACGCGCCTGCAAAAGTGTCCGAGGCTGATCACCTTGCCTGTCACGCCGCCATCGCAGACTCCCCGGCTTACTGTTGCGCGCCCACGCTGGCCCATCGTCGAGTCTTCGTCTGTCGCGTCCCCGCCGCCGCGCCGCTGCGCCAGCCCACAAGCGCCGCCGAGCCTCCTAACCCGCATCTGCCAGCACCGCATCCACCACAACACCACGCCGCCCCCCATCTCCCCCCATCGCCGACACTCCCCCGCCCTCCTGCGCAAGCCATCGCGACAGCGCGCCGTCCCCCCGGAGGGTCCTCTGCCCTAGCCGGAGACTGTCGACACGCCGCCCCCGGCTATGGCAACCGTCGCACCACCACCGGCGAGCGAACGGAAGCGCGTCAAAGTTTACGAGCTCAAGAACAATGACTGGTTCGACAGAGGCACCGGCTTCTGCAAGGGCGTCGTAGCAAATGTACGTCTCTCCACCCCTCGCCACAACACCTCCCCGCTGCACGTGTAGCCCCATTGCGCCCACGCCCACGCCTGCGTTCATGTCCATGCCTACGCTCACGCCCATATCTGCCGCTCACACATGCTAACTGGCCTCACTCGACAGCAGGAGGAAGCAAGGATTGTAGTTCTGTCCGAGGACGATCAGTCGCGACAGCTCCTCGAAACGCGCATCTCCAAGGATGATGGCTATCAGAAACAGCAAGGTATGCGCGTGCCCATGCGCTACCCAAACACAAGCCGGCAGCTAATCAGCCACAGATACTCTCATCGTATGGACTGAGCAAAATGGCACCGACATGGCCCTCAGCTTTCAGGAGCCCGAGGGCTGTGCCAGCATATGGTAGGCATCCACTGCCTCGGTCAATTGAGCAACGCGCTGATTCCATACAGGGACTTTGTCAACGAAGTGCAATCGCGATTGCAGGCTTTAGCGCAGGGTACGTTGCACCCATCCATATAGCTTCAAGCAGGCTAATGCTGACCCAGACGATGGTCTCTCAGACGATTTGGACCATATTAGTCCCATACTTCTCCCAAACCCAGATCTCGGCAATCTCCACGAGATTGAAAACCACATGCGCGCTGCAAACTCTACCCCAGGAGGGCGAGAAGCCCTCGCCAAATTCATCCTTGCTCAGGATTACATACCGAAACTGATTCCGCTCGTCGACATGGCCGAAGACCTCGAAAGCGTATCGGATCTCCACCGGCTATGCAGCATCATGAAGATGCTCATCCTACTCAACGACACTGCCATTATCGAATATGTAGTGACAGACCCCGTTGTTCTGGGAGTGGTTGGAGCCCTAGAATGTCAGTGTCGCCACATACAACCTTGCCTCAATGCTTGCTGACTTCTTGCAGACGACCCGGATTTTCCCTTGCACAAAGCCAACCATCGACAATACCTCGACGACGAATCCAAATTTAAAGAGGTTGTCAAGATCGAGGACGAGAATATCAAGCGGAAAATCCATTACACCTATCGCCTGCAGTATCTCAAAGATGTGGTGCTCGCCCGCATCCTCGACGACCCCACCTTTAGCGTTCTCAACTCCCTCATCTTCTTCCACCAAGTCGACATTGTCCAGCACCTACAAGCAAACGGCCCCTTTTTGAAAGAGCTTTTTGGCATCTTCTCGCCCAAGGAGCAGAATCTCTCGAGGAAAAAGGATGCAGTCCTCTTCATCCAGCAGTGTTGCGCCATAGCAAAGAGCTTGCAGGCAAACGTTAGGGCGCAGCTCTATCAAAACTTCATCAGTGGCGGCCTGCTGGAAGTCATACAGTTTGCTCTCAAACACCAAGATGCTTCGGTCCGAGTAGCAGGAACAGACATACTTGTGTCTTTGATCGATCACGATGCTCTCATGGTGCGCAGCTACATTTTCAAGGCCATTCAGGAAAAGACCAAGCCACTTACCGATACCCTGATTGAGTTACTTCTGATCGAGGTGGACTTGGGGGTCAAGGCGCAGATGGCAGATGCAATCAAGATTCTGCTGGACCCCAATGCCAACTCGGCGTCGATAGAGGCGCTTGGGCGGACTAACAGTGACTTCCTTGCTAAGATGAGGGGCCAACTTCCATCCATACCGCAAACTGACTCTTTCATTCAAAACTTCTACGACGAGTCCGCACGGAAACTCTTCCAGCCTCTCAAAGATCTCGAGGGCCGCGAGTCGAGTAAGTTGAATTCTTGGCCCTTGTTGGCGAAGATGGCTAACGTTGTTCAGTGGAAGATTTATCCATGCAAGAAGTGTCGTTATACGCCCACCTGGTCGAGGTTCTTTGTTTCTTCATCCGTCAACATTCTTTCCGCAGCAAATACTTCATTCTATCCGAAGGCCTCGCAATGCGGGTAGCACAACTTATGGCCTGTCCGGAAAAGCATTTGAAACTCAGTAAGCATCTTCCACAATTGTTTCTATCTTGCTTACTGACTTGTCCCAGCTGCGCTCAAGTACTTCCGCACTGTTCTCGGTTTCCACGACGAAACACATAACCGGCAAATCATCCAACATCACCTCTTCGAACCCATCTTGCAGATCTTATTCGATACGATGCCTCGCGATAATCTCCTCAACTCAGCGTGCCTGGAGCTGTTTGAATTCATCAGGCGCGAAAATATCAAGATGATTGTTCAGCATCTGGTCGAGACATACAGGGAGAGGTTACAAGCTGTCACCTATGTCGATACATTCCAAAATCTGGTCCTCAAATACGACCAGAACCATGAGCCAGTCACTACTCAGGAACTCGACAATTCATTTACAAGTGTGGACAGTGACACACCTGCGCGACACGCCGCAAATGCCAATGGTGGCAAGTGGGGTCAAGGCTTGAAGGACGTAGATGCGGACGAGGAGGCATACTTCAACACATCGGACGATGAGGATGAACAGCTTGCCACTACTGGCAAACTTGCCCTCAACGGAGCATCGCCGGTGCGCCCCCTCGTCAATTACCCGGATGACGACGCAGATGATGCCGACATGGACGATCTCGCTACCGGGCTGCCAGCCTCTGTGCACAAGATTTCAGCAGAGACGCAAACCCCAGAAACCACTCCATCACCAAACTCTGCTTCTGCAGGATCGCCGCCAGAACGTATATCCGAAAAGCGCCGTAGAGAGGAGGATGAGGAGGATGAGCTTCTTGCAAGCATCTCCACATCTGCAGGTCCAAAGCGCCGTGCTTCGACATCAAGCAACGCAAGCTCAGGAAGCCTGCGGAACTTGCGCCGGAAGTCGCCCAGTGTCAATGCAGGCAAGGATGGTGGTGGAACACCAAAGAAGATCTCGTTGTCCATTCCACTAAAAAGTAGTGGTGAGGGAGGCGCGGGCGAATAGTATCGCACGCCCCCGCTCTTAGATGAAGATGAGCTGCAAAGGAGAAGGAAAGGCTTCTCATTTCTGCAGCGCGATGCGCTTTAAACAATCCTAAAAAGATACCCATTTGGAAACTCGAGGAGACACAGACGACGTTGTATGAAATGGGTGCGTACGGGATTTTTTTGGCTTCTTCTTGCAAATGTGTTTCAATAGGGTAGCGGCATTGCGAAAGGTGTAATTATCTAGGCGTTCAGTATCGTCGCCCTCCCCGGCGAGCGAGACGGGTTGGGACTGTGGCATGATGGGATGATGTAGCGCTGTGTGTCGGGCCTATCACCGTGCGTTTGGGTGTTTGGGTTTTCTGTGCATGATCAAGGGCATCATCCGGCCTGTGTATTTTATATCTCGTAGTCTTCGTTCGGGAATGCCAACTCGTCATCGAAGTCACTTCATGTTCTTCCATGGTCTTGTTTCTGTGAGCATGGCTAGGTATGTCTAGATGGTATGTTTGGCAGGTAGGACTGACATTGAAAGTCACGTTCCTTCGCGTCGCTTTACTTAGCGCGTTTGGCCCCGCATGTCTTTCACGTCGATATGACGACCCGCGTCAATGTCTTCCGCTTAATTCTCGTCTCGACGTTAGGTTCAATTGTCTCTGATATTCTAGAGTCATCTCGGTTCTGGGAGACGCCACGCAATGTCTAACGAGCATCCCTCCGTCAATCTGGATACATCGACTACACGAAAGAAAAATTCAACCGTCCAGGAACAAGACGCATCATCTTCTATGCCACCTAAACCTCCAACACTCACTTTGATACTTGCTGCCACGCCGAGTCTCGGCATAGGAAAGGATGGCGTCTTGCCTTGGCCACAGCTCAAAAAGGAAATGGGCTTCTTCGCACGAGTGACGAAGCGTACGTCGCCCTCTGCCCAAGCAGAAGGGTGTAGGAAAATAAATGCTGTACTCATGGGTCGCAAGACATGGGAAAGCATACCGCCTAAATTCCGGCCTCTCAAGGATCGCCTTAACATAGTGATCACATCGAAGCCAGAAGAATTTGCAAGCAAGCTAGAAAAGAAGACAGAAGTCGAAGGTCCACTTGTGTGCTCTGGTATCCTCGACGCCATTGCTCAGCTTGAGCGTGAGGACAAGAGCAATTTTCCATCTACGGACCTCGAAATTGATAGAATCTTTGTCATCGGTGGGGCTAGCATATACCGAACGGCGCTTGAACTTCCGCAGACGAAGCGTGTGTTGCTTACTAAGATCGAGAAAGAGTTTGGTTGCGATACCTTTTTTCATGTCAATTTGGATGAGACAACGATATGGAGGAATGCCAGCAGGGGTGAGGTTCAAGAGTTTACGGGAGAGAACCTTAAGGAAGGTGGGATTGAGGAGCAGGGTATCAGGTTTCACTTTTGCATGTATGAGCGAGAATAGACTGGTGAAAGTGAAGGAGTTAGGACTCAATCCGTAATCAATGACGTACTTGCCGTGATTGCGTGTAAACAAGAGAAGACCCGTAGTTGCCTGGGGGTATTTGACCTCTGGTTTACTTTCGCAAACAAACATAAAAACCATCGACTTACCCAATTCTGCATTCGCCACAATCTCGATCAACCCTATTCGTTCCCGTTGCTCACGATTGACATGGCTCACGAACATTCCTCCACACGATTGGTGTGGAGTGATCTATGGCAAGAAAGTATACCTATACGCTTTACCTCGCAATTTACAATTAACCAACCTTGTCGCAGAGCCTGTCTTGTACACCACACTGAAGTTTACCACAATCATCAACAACACCCTTCTCTCCCTCCTCCTTATCGCGGTTTACTCTGTAGTCTACGACACATTTTGCTTCTGGGTCACCCGACGAACTCGCCAGAAATACCATTACCAGATTGCCGACAGCACAACTGGAAATCCAGTAGCCAAACCCCTGAGCAAACTCGTCCGCAACACCCATGGCTCCCCTATGACGGTTGCTACCAAAGCTATACTTCACTCCGCACCCTTCGCCTGTGTCCAGTACATGACTTCGCAGAGCATCATACATATAGCGCGATGGATAGCGTCTGTTTCTATGACGAATAAGAATATGAAGCGACGGTGTAGCCGCCTGCTCGACAGGGGGATTGAATGCTCTGCTGTACTTCGCTACTACACTCCTCTCAACGTTGCAGCCGCCGCCATTCTTCTATGCATCATTCGCGGCTTCCAGCTACACGTTCAGTCGCCCAAGCGTCGAGTTCAAGATATCAACTACAGCCCTGGCTTTTTGAAATTTCTCTCCACTTGTCGACACATTGCCCAAATGATCCTCGCCTTACCAATTGCAGTTGTTCACATGTACACTCACATTTCAACAGAGACACCGTGGAAGTACCTGAAGCTACTAATTTTCCAGGCGTCTGCTTCATGGGCCATCTTTGTTGCAGGAAATTTGATATGTTTGCTTGCTGCACTACCCGTAAGTACACTTTCTGGGGTGAGCAAGATCCCAGACGGAATAGAAGCTGACAAGCGACAGGATTTCCAAGGTACTATGGAGGCACTAGAAGAGTCGGGAATCACAGGTAGTAGAGGATAAGAAGACGAGGCCATCTGTCGTGAAAGCTTGAAGCATAGATCATACTACGCGGTAGCTGCGTATGCCGTCCGAGAAGAGGATAAACTTGTTTGATCAAGCAGAGTAGAGAATTAGCCTGGCTCAAATGAATACATCTACAATGTCACACCAAAGAGAGCAAGTCCGGATTTGTCCGTTCGAACTTCACCACGTTATCGATCCCATGTTCGGATTCAGTCAGCAAGGCTTTCGTCATTGAGCCGAGGAATCACGATATACACCCACATCCAATGCCCAGCCTTGTCTCTGAACTCAATTTAATCCCAAACGCCGCCATTTTTCATGTTTGTTTTCTTCTTCTAAAAGTGACCAACTCTTCACCTACACCAACCACTTTCTTCTACAAGACACCCTTGAGCACATTGAACAAATCATATTCTTACAACAAGACGGCTGGATGATATAACCAAGTTGCCTAGTGACACAAAATCTCGCAATTCTCGACTCTGCCTGGCCGCCTGAATTCACAATGGGAACACTTTCTGTCCGACGGGCACGGCTTACACACTCTACCCGTCCAGCCACGCAGCACGCGACGCTGTGAACAACGTGTAATCCCAACAATGCAGACCACTGTACTACAATTCTTTTCCGTACCATAGCTGTACCGCAGCAATCGGCAAGAATGTTGCACCGAACGCATGATGGAGCCTTGCTGTTTAGCATCGAGTCGGGGAAACTAGCGCCCGCAGCCCCGCTGAAACTGGTCGCGTAACACAACTACTGAACAGGTAGCTTTCCCACCCATCCCTTTCAGAGCCACAACATTCCACCGATTTCTACATCGATCCAGCGTCTCCAAAAGAAGCAATTAAAAGAGACGTATAAGAAGGACCGAATTGGCTACCCAATATTGATTGCCAACAACTTTCTTTTCTCTACAAGATTTTGGAAAGGGCAACTCGACTACGCAACGAATAGACGACTGTGAAGAGATACACCAACAACACCAAAACCGACTGAAATCATGGCCATTATCCAGGTTCCAGACGAGTACGGGTACGTATCCATCATCCAATTGCCCCCCCTCCCCCCTCTCCTCCGTTTCCCCAACTCTTACACACACCAACTCCCACAAGCCCCATCCCTCAGCCCTCACCTCTCCACCCACAGCTAACCCTTCCCCACCAGCTACGTCCTCGGCGCCGCCGTCTCCACCTTCTTCGTCGGCGTCTGGCTCGGCGCGCGCGTCGGCTCCTTCCGCAGAGCAGCCAAGATCCCGTACCCCTTCGAATACGCGTCATACGAACAAGTCCAAACCGCGTCGCCCGCCTCCAAATCCGCCATGCTCGCCTTCAACGCTGCGCAGCGCGCACACCAGAACTTTGGCGAGAACCACACTACTGCGCTCGCTGCTATGCTGGTTTCTGGGCTGAGGTTCCCCATGGCGACGGCGGCCCTGGGCGTCGCGTGGAGTGTCAATCGTGTGTTTTATTCGGTCGGGTATACGAGGAGTGCGGAGAGTGGGGGGAAGGGAAGGTATTATGGTGCGGCAGGCATTATAGCACATTATGTGCTGGTGCTTATGAGCACAAAGGCGGCGTATGATTTAATCATGGCGTAGAGGCTGCAGGAGAAGCGTCTTTTTAGGCTAGAGATGTATAGATTGAGTATACCACTGTTGGTTCTTTCTTTCGATTGAGGAATCTATCTTCATGATGAGTGTTGATGTTGCAAAAAGGACTGTTTTTTTCTGGAGATATCATTGATGCATAAGGATAATGGTCAATTTGCATGTTGCCCACGAGCCGAATTGCACATTGCGCTTATGACACTGATCACGTATCCTGTTCAAAAGTAGATTTAAGACGAGTATACTCGGACATATTTTTTTTCATTTTCTTTTCTAAAAAGATTCGTAATCATGTAATTCGTGAGGCATACAAATTCGTCAAGAAAAGTCTTTTTTTTGGCAATCTCAGACACCGTTTGCGGTAACGGCGCGAACAGCAACACCCTCGATGCGCTTCTTGTAAGTCGCCATCTGATGCTTGAGCAAATCTCCATATACGACTTTTCTCAGCATTTCATCGTCCACCGTCACAGCTTCGACGTCGTCCTCGTTCCTGGTCCCTACTCTCTGCCTCAATACAACAAGTCGGCCGGCAGGCGACAAGGTACAGGGTGGGATTGGCCAAGCGGGTAGCGAAGATGACGAAGACGATTGGGTGTTGTTTGTTTCCAACGAGATTTTCGATCCCCGTGAGAGTCGTGCAGCAAAGCCGTGTTTGGATCTGGATTTTGGCGGTGATGAAGAATGTGAGCGCGAGACATTGGTTCTGGACGACGACGCCGTTGCAGAGCCAGAGCTCGAGGCCATGGTAGGTGCAGGACTGGCATACAGCTTGAGCAGGCTTCGGAGCACGCTCTTATCAGCTCTCGGTATAGGGTCACCTTCGTTGATGAAGCTGTAGAAAAGACTCTTTCGGTGCCGCTTGTCTTCGGGCTTCTTGAGCGGCCGCAGACTGACTGGCGGTGCACCAAAAGTGACGCAGTGCACCCGCTTGAAGAAGCTGGTGAGGTAGCTGAGTTCAGACTCAACCTTGGTGCTCATCATGTGCGCGTATAGCAACGCGGCGACCGCTCCGCCTGCGGAGTGGCCGGTGATGAGCAGACTACAATTAGAGCGCGCAGGATTCTCTTGTAGCAAGACCTTGAGCCGCTCTGCGACTGTCTTGATCATCTTTTTTGCGACATAGAGAAACCCCGCATGGCACAAGTTTCCCGGGTCATCGAGAAACTTGGCCGGGCTGCTTGGCGCAGAGTTGTAGTTGACGGCCCAATCCATGAATGTCTGACTTCCACGAATAGCAAACACGATCGTGTTCAGCTCTTCGACGGGTATAGACTTTAGAACCATGGCTTTGGTACCGCTACGCCAGTCGGCAGGGATATGCGTCTCCATTTCAGAACTCTTCTTGGTACCGGGAGGTAGGTACGCCTTTTCAGAGTACGTTGCCGCCAAGCACAACAAGGGATACGTCGGGAGATACACTTTAAAAGGGGGTAGATGCGGCGGCAGGCGTGAGTTGGAGTAAAGCCATACTTTTGAGAAATGGTTTGATCCTTTGTCACTACTAGGCTTGGGAGAAACCTCGTCCCGACCATGACGTCTACCTCCGCCAAGCGGCGGGCTCGTTTTCACGGGCTCCTCGTAGTCCATCTGGTCGCCAAACTCCATCATCAAATCTTGCTCTTTACCGCTGAACTGTTCGTCATCGATGCTAGTAATAACAGAGTCGAACTTTGAGGTAATGACATCGTATAACGCTGCCCCACGGCACAAAGTCTGCATGCTCTTGGTGGCGACAGCAGCCGTGGGCCGCTCGATGCAGTTGGTAGTCAGCTTGTTCATCCCCTTGCCAGCCGTGTCACGCAAATTGGTAAAAGACCTCGTAGCCATGCGGTCAAGACTGTCCCATTGCTGCTGGAAAGGACCCTGGCCGCGTGACTCAGGAGGCGGTGGGGAAGCAAAGCGGATCGTGGATTGGCTGGCATAAGGTTGAACAGGCTGTGGTGGAGGAGACCAATACCGCGGCACATCTTGAGGATAGGCTCCGGGCATCTGGCCGTAATCTGAGCGCTCGGGCGGGCTCGCAGAACAGCTGTGGTATAATGGCGGGGATGTAACAGTAGATTGGGAATAGGAGCGCTGATGTGGTATATACTGGGGTTGGCTTTGAGGGGTAGCCTGGACCGGTGGTGCATGGTCTTGCAAATACATGTCTGGCACGGGAGGCGAAACATGAGGCTTCTTGGACGAGGAACGCGTCCTCGAAGCCCTGGATGACGAATGCGAATGCTTCCTTCTGCTCCTGCGCTCTGGGTCGGTCGCGTGGGCCATGGTGTGGGCGTGGTGGGAAGAGTTATTATGGTGTAGATCTGGCAAAGATGATTGGCGAGGCGCCGCTATCGCGTGCAAGCGTTGGTGTTCTTTCAGCGCGATTCACGTCGTCTGCCGGATCGCGACGTATGCCAAGGCCTAGTCATAGCCGCTCCGTGCTTCTTTGACGTTAGACGATCAAGGCATCCATGGCGGGTGTCGATGTTTGTTCTTTGACAGTGAAACGAGTGTAAGGGAAGGGGATCGGGGGTAGTGTAGTGTACTGGGACAAACAAAGGCCGAGTCACAGACGGGGCGGCGGGGAGAGAAGGCTCTGGAGTCTGAATGGGCGAGGCCGGATGTTAAGGGCGGGTGGATGCAGGTCCAAGCAGCAAGCCGCGGCACTGCCATGACGCTAAGCCCCTTGCGGCCACACCCACCCTCTCGCCTATGATTGGCCAGCCGAGTCTTGCGCTGCACAGACCACGCCATGCAGCTGGCACTGCATTGTATCCACTCCACTCTCTGCACTCCTCAAGAGCCGGACGACACGTCGCACCAAGTCCGAGGCCGACGGTATGCTTTGGTCGTAGCGTCACTGTCGGTGAGAGCTTCGCTTATTGATTTGCCTTGTGTTCCTGGCGGGAAGCCCTCCCCGTGGCCCTGATCAACGGCCAACCTGCCAAACGAGCAATCCCCCACCGGCGTGGCCTACACCGCATGCGCGACATGCGGTGATATCACCGCATGACAATCCAGCAGAGATCGAGACCCTTTTTTTCTTCAAGCCCACCAGCATAGAAGGTGCTAGACACGGTGTCAAATCTCATTTTCTGCTCCCTATCTACCATGGGCACCAATCAAGCCTGCGTGCTCATCCTCCGCCGTGTCCAGTAGGTCACTCTGCTCATCCTCTTCATCCTCTTGTCTCTCATCTCCGAGCCCCTCTCTACCATCGTCTTCACGCTCTTCCTCCATGCCTTCCATGACGTACCAGACATCCTTCTTGGTAAGCAACCCCTTGAGTGTGCCTCGATCCGTGAACAAGACATATCGCAACCCGAGCTTCTGGAACATGGATACTGTGAGCTGAAAGCTGGCTTTGGCATGTAGTGTCATGGGCGTTTGGTCCATCCACGGCCGGAGATCGAGGGAAGTCGTGGGGTCGGAGAGGGGCTGGTGGGCAAAGTACGCTTCTGTTTCAGGCGCTAGGTTCCGAGGAGGCGTCAGGGCAGTCTGAAGCGCGTATTGTAGTTCAGTTCTGGATATGTAACCCAACAGCAGAGCATCACGACTGTTGTCAATCACGGGAAACCCACGGAACCGATGTTGAGACAAAAGCTCGCGCAGCGACCCAATAGTGTGTCCGGTTGCTGTCATGGCCGTCAGGTCTTCGATGCGTGTCATGACATGGCTTGCACTGACATCTGGAATCGAGCTACCGTTGTCGTCGCGATTGTCGAGGAAAGGGTACCCTTTAAAATGTATCCAGGACTCATAAATGCCCCGTGGGGAGATGGCGTCACCAGTCCATTTGCTGATCATGACTGCAATCATAATGGGTAGAACATACGTAAGAGCCCCAGTCAGCTCAAACATGATGACCACAATCGAAACTGTCATGCGTGTGGTGCCCGCAAGCGCCGATGCTGCTCCAATAATAGCATACGTTCCTGGGGTCACGCAAGGTACATCAGGTTCGCAGGAGCTGAAGAAGAAGAGGGACGGCCAAGCACCCTGGACTACTTGCACAGATAGCCCCACTGCACGACCAAAGAGACCGCCAATGGCCATGGAAGGAAGAATGATACCCGCTGGAATCTGCAGACCGAATGTGAAGCCTGCTAGTATGATGCCCAATCCCGAAGACACCAGTAACAAAGCGATTACTCCAGTGTTTGCTTTACCAGATTTGCAGAGGCCCAGCGTATCTTCGGTGAGATCAGCACATTCAGCGAAAAGGATATGCACTAGTTCGGAAGCTTGGGCGCGCATGAACTTGATGGGAAAGTTGATCAGGGCCGTCACGAATGCCACGATGACAACTTCCCTCACAGGGCCTTTGAGGTATTGTCTGTTCTTTCGCCACTCAGCAACGCCCATGTTAAGCTTGATGAACAAGCCTCCAAAAAGACCACCCAAGATTCCGAGAAAGATAAAGGGCAAGAGCTCAAAGTCGTGCCATCCACTGTGATAAGTGACTTGATACAAGACAAGCTTGCCGGTGCGGAAGGGGTTGCATGCTTGTAGTGTGACGGCGGCTACCATGGCGCATACGAAACTGCTCCACATGGTCTTGTCTGGAAAGTAGTACGACAGCTGTTCAAGGCTGAAGAGTACACCGCCTATAGGTGCACCAAAAGCGACTGAAATACCTGCTGCAGCCGCAGCTGAGAGTACCTCTCGTTTCCGTGCTACTCAAATCAATGGATTGTAACAAATGACGAGCGGAAAATACTGACCTTCATTGCCGTTTACGCTACTAAATAGCTTCATGAAGAGGTTCGCCGAGCAGCACGCTACGTGTACCAAGGGACCTTCCTTGCCCAGCCACAGACCTGATGCGACTGCCAGACACTGGCCATGTTAGCTAGTAATCCAGGAGTTGTTTCTTGCGAGGCTACTTACCAAGCCAATTGTCTTTGTGACTAGCGTCCAGCCGCCTAGGAAATGCCGGATAACGAACCCACCGAGAACAGTTTTGATTTCTGGTATACCGCTGTGTTTGGCATAAGGAGAGAATTCCCGAACTAGAAAGCTGGCGCATGCTGCGAACATCACCTAAGTGGCTGTTAGTATTCTCGTTCTTCCAATCCAGTTGATCAGTGGACACTCACCGAGTAGAGAATGAACAAGACATAATCGACAACATATCTTCCACCAGCGCTCCCAATGCCCATAGCCGAGCCCCACGAATCCCAATCGTGACAGGCCTGTGCTTCATTGATTCCCCAGCAACAAAAGCTCTTGTTCAGATAGAATCGCCCGTCTCCATCCACATTGTGACAGTATCCCGTCTTGAGATCCGCAAGCCAATCGCTCGCAATGTCAATGAAAGCGGCGATGCCTCCGCTTAGTATGCCTGCGGCGACCAAGATGATCCAGACCTGACTTGCATCTGCAAGCTGCTTCACGTGCCCCAAGATGCCGCTGGTGCCTATGTAGAGGTACCTCAGCCGCTGGCGTTCCTTTGCATATTCAAAGATCCAGTCGATGGCGGTAAGATCGTCGTAGCCTACCCTTCGGCCCGGCCCCTCAACGTGCCAATCTAACCCGCTTGCATCTTTGGCGTCTTGGGTGTGTTCACCGGCGCTGCCTGGTGTTTCGAGATAGTTCAAGTCAAGTTCGCTTGATGGAGTTGTACGATGAGATCGTGGTGAGGGCGATGCGCGACTGCTGGAGGGCGTAAGCGGCGAAGGGAAATAGCGTGAGAAGCCGAATGAAGAAGCGGGTGCCTTTGGTTTGCGTTTAAATGATAGTCTAGGCGATGCAATTCAGTATCGTGAGCGGAGGGATGTTGGAAGAAGTGCGTACTGCTCAGGTAAATCGGGATCTAGTGGATCGTTCGCCAACAGTGCCTCTTCATCGCTGCGGTCATCTTCAACGGCTGGCTGCTTCCCGTTAGATGCGCGGCTTGACGAGGTGTTGACGTGTCCGATTGGGGACCGACTGTGCGAAGAGCTGGACATGCCCTCGACATATGCTTGTTTGAACGCCAGGGCGCATTGCTCAAGCAATCATTATGTGGAGAGATGTGCGGTACAGTAATCGTGGTATCTGCGACGTAGGGCTGAGCCGTGATGGGACAGGTGCAGCGAATCAGGAGTGGTCTGTGCACCATGGCTCAGAACCATGGTATGTACGAAGCAGCACATCATCCTTGACAGCCATTCGATAATAATACGAGAAGATACTTGTAGGCTCATTCTCGTCGGAAATACATTGACATTGATTGAAATTGCTCAAGCTTGTCCCATTTGATATCTGAACCATCTATCAATTACTCCTGGTTAAAGTCCACAACTGCCCTTCCGGCAATCTCGCCACGCTTTAGCTTTTGTACTGCTTCATTGAATTGGCTCAAGGGATATACTGTATAGATAGGCTTCAGTAGCCCTCGGCTGGCAAACTCAAGTGTCTTGTCCACATCTGCCATGTTGCTCACCAGCGTGCCTGTTATGGTCTGCTTTCTCATGCACATATGGGTCGGGTCGACGTCGATGTGCTGAGTACCAGCCGGTGGCAGCCCGATGCACATCACCTTGCCACCGACGCGGCTACCGAGGTACGATATCGAGGAGGGATAGCTTTGGACAGCAGTGACAAAGACGCCGTGTGCGCCGATGCCGTCACAGAGTCGCACTATCTCTTCGGCAACATTTTCCACCTTTCTGAAATCGATGAAGTGTTCTGCACCGCCAACTTCCAAGCACAGCTTCTTCTTGTCCTCTCCAGTATCAATGGCTACAGCTCGCAGACCCATGGCCTTGGCTAGTTGCACACCCTGTAGCCCGACACCCCCGCCGGCGCCGGGGAAAACTGCCCAGTCTCCTGGTCGCAGTTGTGATTCTTTAATGGAGGTGTACATTGTCGAGGCCGAACACATAATGGGCCCTGCTATGTAATCATCTACTCCGTCTGGAATCAGCGTCGTGTATCTCTCGGGGGAGACTATGTACTGTTTGTATGACCCGTCGATCGTTAAGCCAGTCACGACAGCTTCTGGACAGTAGCACTCATTGCCGTTACGGCAGAGCTCACATACACCACAAGTGTCTTGGATAGGCTATGACATGTCAGAACTAACGATTACATAGATAAATTCAGTCATTGCAACACCTGGGTCTGCTCACCTTGTAGCCAGCTCGCATACCAGGCTTCAAATTCTTGACCTGATCGCCAACCTTTACTATGACGCCCGCGCCTTCGTGTCCAGAGCATCTGGTCCCAAAGACGGACATCTTGGGCATATTCCAATCGTTAGACATGACATGGAGATCTGAATGGCAGAGGCCGGTGGTATTGAGCTTAATGAGAACCTCGGTAGGTCCTGTTGGATTGTGTGAGCATGGTGCCTGGAATGCAAAGCACGCTTCTGAAAACCTACCAATCTCTGGGACTGGAACATCCTGTACTTCTACATAAAAGTCTGGACCTTCATTGATCACGACACCTCCTTTGCAGGTTTTTGGAATCTCAAACGTTTGGACTTTGTCTTGTGCCATGTTGAGTGGAATCTGGGATAGTCGGTAAAACTGCCTAAGCGACTGGAGTTATCGCAGTAGAAGACCGATGGAGTGACTGGAAAGAAGGAGACAGAGCAGTGTGTACATAGACAGGAGTTGTATGTATATGAATACCTCGATATGTCTTTACCCCTCTTCAAGAAGGGAGTCCTATAGCTTCTCCAACATCTGCCGGACGAAGTGGAAACGGGCCTATTAGTGCAAGCAAGCCGGTGAAACGCAGATGAACCATTCGAGTCAAGGGCGCGAGGCCACTAATGGTTATAAGTACATATAGACTGCTTTGAATCAGACGGCTTGTCTCGCGAGATCGACTTGTACAATTTGGGAGCGGCAATTCTGCGGGCGTCTAGCTTCCCCATGTCGAGGGGCCCTGCTGAGAGGCGATGCGGGGCAATGTATGTGGGGTTGGCATGGCACTCAAACACTATGTAAGCTGACAGTGTTGCAAGCATGTCTTAGCTGGAGGAAACCGCTGTTTTCTTGTCACATCTTTAGTGTAATGTAGTGTAGTGTAGTGTAGTGTAGTGTAGTGTAGTAGAAGGGGCGGGTGTGCGGAAATGCTGGAATGACATGTGGAAGAGAGAGTATTCATGGTGAGCAAAAGTAGTACAGTATGTCTGGTGCAGGGGACTGGCCACCGGCGTTCAAGTTGGCGCACATCGTTTCCCAGTCGCTGGCTAAATGTCATTTCCTTTGCTGAAGTGAGTGGTACAGAGAGACATTTGGAGAGCCTCGCACATGCGGAATTGGGCGACCAGGTCGTGGAGACATGTTGGGGCATGGAGTCGTGGCGGCTACGTAGTAAATGGCGTCGAAGCATCTAGCATTCTTGGACATACGTGTGCAGGCGTGGCAATGGCGAGATACAGCCTAGTCTAGGAGTAGGACAGCAGCTGATGTGTGCAGATCTGGAGGGCTTATGCTTACTCAAAGCAGGTGTCTGGACTGTGCAGCACATGGAGCCGTCTTTTTCCGCCACCAGCGTGTTGCGTGCCTCGGTGCACAAGACCGTCACGTGACTGCGCGTTGGCCAATCAAACGGGTCGAATTTCAGATGCGCCCACGATCGTGATGCGGAACCGGTTCCGGACATGAAAGCGGGGTCTTCCAGTCCACATGCCTCTCACCTGACAGGCTCGTGCAATGCAATTGACCGTCTACCCTAGGTGTACAATGCAGAGCGAGCCAACGTCAACTCTGAAGAGTGCAACGAGCGCAATGGAGGAAAAAAAAGGTAATCGCAGACAAAAATACACACTTAGTAGGCTATCGGCATACATGTCGTCAGCCATCTGTTGTTGGCCACTGGGGGCACAGGGAGTCGTGTACTGTAGTGGGGTGAATGGCCATCATGCTAGGCAAAATGGAGCCATCATACGCGGACCCACTGGACTGGCGACTTGGAGGGGAGAGGGGATCGAGGGGAGCAGCGACCAGTGGCCAGAACAGGTGCTTATGAATGCCCCGCTACTCGCCGCTTATACTTATACTACTTAGACGCCGCTCCCGCTACACTGCTCTACAGCCTGTGTTTGAACCATTCCCTCTCAAAGCACACGACCCAATCATTCATCATGTCCAAAGGCGAGTGTCCTGTCAAGAAGGTGCCCAACGTCGCCGGCGCTGGCACAAGAAACTCGGACTGGTGGCCAAACGAGCTCAGGGTAAACATCCTGCGCCAACACGACCCCAGACAGAACCCCTTCGGTCCTGACTTCAACTACGCCGAAGAGTTCAAGAAGCTCGACTACGATGCCTTGAAGAAGGACCTCACAGCCTTGATGACCGACTCGCAGGACTGGTGGCCTGCCGACTTTGGTCACTATGGTGGCTTTTTGTATGTTTAGCCCTTTGTCCTGGCCTCTCCATCTCGCCCTCTAACCCTGCAAATAGCGTCCGTCTGTCATGGCACGCTGCTGGAACATACCGTGTCACCGACGGCCGTGGTGGCGGTGGTGATGGACAGCAGCGCTTTGCTCCCCTCAACGCCTGGCCCGACAACGTCTCCCTCGACAAGGCCCGCCGCCTGCTCTGGCCCATCAAGCAGAAGTACGGAAACAAGATTTCATGGGCCGATCTCTTGCTTCTCGCCGGAAACGTTGCCATTGAGTCCATGGGATGCCCGACCTTTGGTTTTGCCGGAGGCCGTTCAGACACCTTCCAGTCGGACGAGTCTGTCTACTGGGGCGGCGAGACCGAGTGGCTCGGCAGCGACGTCCGTTATGCTGATGGCGCAAAGGGTATCAAGGGCCAGGGCATCATGGACGGTGACCAGCACAAGAACGACGCCAAGGATACCCACACAGCGAGAAATCTTGAGCAGCCACTGGCTGCTGCACACATGGGTCTCATCTACGTGAACCCCGAGGGTAAGTTTCTTCTTGGAATACACATCTCTTCCTGTTACTGACTCGTCCAGGTCCCGAAGGCGTACCCGACCCCGTTGCCGCCGCCCACGACATCCGCACAACCTTTGGCCGTATGGCTATGAGCGACGTGGAAACCGCTGCTCTCATTGTTGGTGGTCACACATTCGGAAAGACACACGGTGCCGCTCCCAGCGAAAACACTGGCCCAGACCCCAACTCGGAGGACCTTGGAACTCAAGGTCTCGGCTGGGTGAACAAGCACGGCCGTGGCAATGGTCCAGATACCATCACCAGTGGTCTCGAGGTCACATGGACTAGCACACCCGCCAAGTGGAGCAACAAGTACCTGGAGTACCTCTACAAGTTTGAATGGGAGCTGGAGAAGAGCCCTGCTGGTGCCAACCAGTGGGTTGCTAAGACAGATGAGGAGATTATTCCAGACGCCTACGACCCCAACAAGAAGCACAAGCCCAGGATGCTTACCACTGACTTGTCGATGCGCATGGACCCTGCCTACGAGAAGATCACTCGCCGCTGGCTAGACCACCCTGAGGAACTGCATGACGCTTTTACTCGTGCCTGGTTCAAGCTTCTTCACCGTGACATGGGTCCCCGCTCTAGGTGGATCGGCCCAGAGATTCCCAAGGAGATTCTTCTCTGGGAAGACCCTGTCCCTGAGCCCGAGGGTGAGATCATTGGCGAGTCTGAGATTCAGGCTTTGAAGAAGCAGGTTCTCGACGCTGGCATTGAGCCTGCCAAGCTTATCCGCACTGCTTGGGCTTCCGCAGCTTCTTTCCGTGGCAGCGACAAGCGTGGTGGCGCCAACGGTGCTCGCATCCGCCTCGCTCCCCAGAAGGACTGGGAGGTAAACAACCCCAAGGAGTTGGCTGAGGTTCTCAAGGCACTTGAGGGCATTCAGTCCAAGTTCAACAGTGGCAGCAGCAAGAAGGTCTCTCTGGCCGACTTGATTGTCCTTGCTGGTACCGCCGCAGTTGAGAAGGCTGCCGGTGTGCCTGTTCCTTTTGCGCCTGGCCGCACCGACGCTTCCCAGGAGCAGACTGACGCGCAGTCTTTCGAGCACCTTGAGCCCGTCACAGATGGTTTCCGCAACTACGGAAAGGGCACTGAGCGTGTCCGCACCGAGCAGCTCGACGTTGACAAGGCCCACCTTCTTCGGCTCACCGCCCCCGAGATGGTTGTCCTCACTGGTGGTTTGCGTGCGCTGAATGCCAACTGGGACGGCTCCTCTCACGGAGTCTTCACCCAGCGCCCCGGCCAGCTCACCAACGACTTCTTCGTCAACTTGCTCGACAACAACCTTGAGTGGAAGGCGACCGACGCCAGCAAGGAGCTATACGAGGGTTTCGACCGCAAGACGGGCCAGAAGAAGTGGACGGGCACACGCCACGACCTCGTCTTTGGTCACCACCCTGAGCTCCGTGCCATTGCCGAGACATACGCAACTTCGGACAACGCGAACAAGTTTGTCAAGGACTTTGTTGCTGGATGGGAGAAGATTATGAACAACGACCGCTATGACATCAAGAACAAGTCGGTGAGTACACCATCGAGCGGGGCAAGCAGGCCTCGTTTGTAATTAAAAAAATACAAAGCAGCAGAAAGAGAAGGAAAGATGAGAAGATTTGAAAAAAAAAGAAGAAGAAATGGCAAACGAGGCTGCGCCTGTATCGTTTGTTCCTTGTACACTTGCTTTCCTTGTGGGTTAAAACATGAAAAAAACATGGGCATATTCTAGGGCTGCTTAGTTTGTCCACTCGCTGACGTATTACTCCATAGACTTGAGTCTTTCCGGCAGTTTCTTTTTCACAAAAAGGACCAGGGGAGAGATTCTTCGATACCTAGATAGCGTTGCTTTAAGGAACAGGCAGATAGCATGTACGCCTTTTTTACGAAATGAGATATGAATAAGATGAGAAATCTTTGCCCTCTAAGAGAGAGAATGTGTGTGTGTGTGAGAGAGAGAGAGAGCGAGAGAGAGAGAGACTTGTGTGTTGCCATTTGTTTGTCATTTCGTATCATTACGTAGCTGTGAATCTGACAAAAGCTCCTAGCAGGATCCCGGCTACTAAAAGCCTGTAATAGTAAACAACAAAAGGCGCAAGAGAGGAGAAGTAATGTGTAAAGTGCCTCTATAGAGTACGCCGAAGCGCTTGACTTCATTACCAAGCATGAGTTTCATAAGCCGTGGTCATTCATTGTACGTCCGTCATGCATCATGCACTAGTCTAATGTGCCATTCGCTCATCAGAAGAATCAAACACGACAGTGATGAGAGAGAGAGGGGGGGGGGGGGAACAAAAAAGGGGTGAGAGAGGTTATTAGGGTTTTGCAGACATGTAATAGTATGCCGCAAGCGCCCCACCAATGACGAGGGCCGATGCACTAAGAAAAAAAGTAGTGTTAGCAAGATTCGTTGTAACTAAAAATGATAGCCCATCAAGGAGAAGAGAGTGTGGATGGAGGGGTATCGTCACAAGTCATATGCAGAAGGAATAAGATGCTGGCTTACCTGGCTCGTTTCCGATCGCCAAACAAGAGCTTGAGCGGACCGCCACTGTGCTTCTCGGGCGGGTGTAGAGATGCCAA